TTGACTGCTTCCAAAGCGGAGAATCGTTTAGTATAGTGCTGTACAGTAGATTTGTATTTTTCGTTGAATGTTTTTTTTGTGATCTCGTTGTTATGTGTGTGCCTCTTGTTGTTTTTTTTCCTTTTGTCAGGTGATTTTGTTCATTCATTAGGTTGTTGTAATGTTGAAACTTATCTTTGTTTCATGATCCTGCAACTGGATTTTGGTAAAAGGTATCCCATTCTGGTCGCGATGATTTCACTGAATAGTTTTTAAAATCACCAGATATGTCTTCACGTTATTTTACTTGATCCATAAAAATACATATCGAACGTTTGATTCGCATCAGTGACTTTTTGAATCACATCGTCACAAGATTTGTAATTGACCGTGAAACTATCAGAGATGGTTGACTTGAGAACGTTTACTGAGAACAGTTTGTGTTATTTTCAATTTTGTTATTTTGGTTTTTGTATGTAAAAAGGAATGATGCTCTTGGAGTGTGGAATAATAAAGTATCTTTTGACTAGCTTCTGATTCACAAATGTTGCCATATTGAACCTGTTTGTTTTCAATCGGTGATCATACGAGATACTTCACCAACTCAATTGTAAATTCCGTATGCACTTTCGTTATGGGACGTTGTTTGTTGCTGGAGTATTACCCTTCAAAACGCTTCTGACTATCTGCTGACGGCAACGATAACTCTCAGCGGATGATCGTTTTCGTTGATGAGAAGTGCAATAGTTGTTATCAGAAGTAGTTTAACACAGTCACGGTGTTGAATGAACTTCAGGTAGGTGCGTGAATGCTTGTAAATAATGATAGCGCCGAATCAGTTCACATCCGAGTGGATGAACGCTGCCGAATTGACAGCAAGATTGGAATTAGGTGATCGCATCGAAATAAGGCGAGTGGTTGGAAGAAATCAACGACAAATATATGCGGTACGTCAATACGCTCCCTTGTGCTTTAGCCAACTGATTCTGATTTATCCTAACGCTGTGATGATTAATGAAACTTCGCAGAAATAGGGAAGATAGAGCATAAAGTGCGAGATTATTTTGAGTAGGAAATAAATGTTAAAGAGATTACATCGTTGAATTTGCTGTTGCCGTTATGTGTTTATGTGATGTGATAGTGTTATAAGTGTTCAATGGAGGTTTTTCGAGACTTTCGATTTCTTTCAGCATTGGGCTCTTTTCATTGGGTATTATGAAGACATGGCTTGTGTCGCACATGTGACCACAAATTCTGGTGATTTCGATGTGAACGTAACTGATGTGATCAATCCGTCCGACTCCGTTGTTGACCTAACAACGAAATTTGTGAAAGGTAGTCAAGCACAAGTGAGTTTTTGAAGCGATTTTGGACCGGTATCATTTGATATATTAATCAGATCAGAATTATGATCTAGGTTGAGTCGACCATTGCGATGACTAAACGGATGACTCATTTTATAACGGATGAATTGATATAAATTCTTGCGCCAAACGAGGGTGGTAGTTTAACAAGCGATTTATTCACTGTGTCTGGTAGCGATAGATGATTGAAGTCAATTGAGCTCATAAGGCGACAATGTTGTGGAGACTCTCTTGCAGTATTTGCTATTCGTTGTTAGCTGTGACTGTTCAACAGTCGATGTTACAAAACTTATTTCCTTTTCGTGACGAGACTTATTTCCTTTTCCGATGCAGTTCTTTTGAACATTTCACTCATAATGTCTCTGTCTTTCTCTGAAGGTACAACAAGGTGAACTCACGCGTGTTGCACGTACGGATATGTGCCGAATCAATAACTCACTGGATCGACTTCGAAGACCGTTTCCACCGAGCATTATCGTTACCAGAGCACTTCTCATGGTGAAAATTTCTCATGTTAATTTCTGATTTGTAATAGTCTCTTTAAAGGATTCGGTATGCATAAAGTAGATTTCCAGTGGTAGAGGGAACTGCTTAACTCTGTTCACCGTAAAATTTTTTTGAAAGTTAATTTTCCTCTGATCTGATTTGAGAAACATTTTTTTGCAGCTTGGAAGTGGCGGTTACAACATTCTGTTCAATAACTG